GGCCACCACGCATGGGCCAGGTCTCACTTATAACACGGTGATCGGGTGTTCTTTTGGGAGCACTGTGTTGCAGGGTTGATTCCAGCAAAGATGTATAAACAGACAAGAAGGGAAAGCATGTGCAAGGACCCTTGAAGATCTGTAAAGGATGGTGTTGAGGTTAGATGAGGTCTTTGTGCCCCGTCATTGGATGAGTTGTCCAATGATGGAAGGCCCATCTCTCAGTCATGGTAGGCAGAATGGCCTAGGTCCTGGAGGCAGCTGGGGTTCCACCTTCATTCTTCACGTACATAACACGCAGCCCCGGGCACAGGACTTGATGTTAGCCTTCTCACTGGCATTTACCTTGCAGGTTATTGCAAGGATTGAAACCACTACCTGTCAGGCACTGGGCACGGTCTTTGGGATAGCATAAGTGCCCAAGAATTAGCACTGGCAGCTGTCAGAGGAATGGGGTGTTGGGGGCTGGCTGAAAAAAGTGAAGGGATGAAGCAAAGAAAAAAGCCCTCATAGGCAGAGACAGCAGTATGGTGATTGCCAGAGGGAAAGAGGGTGGGGGGAGACAGAAGAGGGTAAAGGAGAGGTAAATGGTGATGGAAGGAGACTTGACTTTGGGTGGTGAGCACATGATACAATATACAGATGATATATTATAGAATTATACACCTGAAACCTATATAATTTTATTAACCAATGCTCCCCCAACAAATTTAATTAATTTTTTTAAAAAGCTAGCAGACATTATTTTGTGTCTCGTTTCCCCCAGAAGCCACAGGACTGTGCCCAAGCCTCCATTTCACTGTCTGATGTGCCCCCACATCCCACCCCGGACTTGTGACTCTGTGGTCTTAGTCCTTCTCAGTCCCACTGTTTCTGGGTTCCCCAAGACGCGTCTCTTGTGCGTTCTGGGAGAGACCGCTGTTCACTCACTCATGGTTTCTATCTCCAGCTTTTCTCGTGTGAGGACTTCCGTGTCTCTGCGGTCCATAAAGACCTTTGAGGGCACCCTATCAGCTCCCCCGACACCAGTGCCTGTCACCCTGACCACATTCACCACATTCACGTCCGTGCCCAGGGCCCATCTCCCGATGCTCCCAACAGTGTCCGATGCTCAGGAGCTAGAGAGCAGAGAAAACTTTTCTGGAAACCTTAGTTCTCATGAAAGCCCCCATGTTTTCCCTGCAGTCTTGGTGAGTGTGGACCCATCCCCACGTTGTGTCCCAGGTGGCCATCTGGACCTTAGAGCTGCTCCAGTGCCTCCCTGTGCTAAGGGCTCCTCATGAAAATTGATGGATGTCTAGGAGAATCATCTGGAAAATCTGTCTTCGGGAAAATTGCTGTCCTCCCAATTTCCTGCCCTGTCAGAAGGGGCATTCACCCCCCTTCTCTGCCTGCAAAACTGGAATGCAAGTCATCCTGAGGAATTTGACCCGTGGCAGGTGCTCTCCGCCGGTCCCGCAAACCTGAACTCCAGACTGGGGTTGAAGCCGCCACTGTCATTGCTATGCAAGCATTAGAGCAGACGACTGAAAACTGCTTAGGAAGTCCAGCCAAGCTCTGATTGGAGGACGGACCCAGCCCCTTGTAAAGATCTTCCCTGAAGAGAATGCTTTCCAAAATTGCAACTGCAGAATCCCAATCTCTTGTCTAAAAGCCTTGGGACCAGATGTGTTTTAGGAAGGTGATATACTGCATATCCTGTGCATTACATGATTTGCTAACGTACAGCCCAGGGCCTGGCCTGAAGATTCTTTCTGTAATTAAAGTTTTATTGGCACACAGCTGCACCCACTTGTTTGCATGTTATCCATGGCTACTTGCAGCTACAGTGGCAGAGCTGAGTATGCAAGGCAGTGGCCACAAGCCCACAAAGCCTAAAACATTTACTACCTGGCTGTCCACAGAAAGGTTGCTAAACCTTGTATGATATAACACCTCTGGGGGCAGCACCTTGGAATTAAACACATGAATATCTCTGCATTGAAATGAGTGGACATTCACACTCAGTAAGATAAATAATTTAGACAGCTCTAGATAGCTTTGGCTACCAAGTGGTTATTGAAAAACTTTCCATGTTCAAAACTTTTGGGGTCTCACAGGATCCCTTTCCATGGTGACATTGTGAGCAGATGCACAAAGCAGAAGGACAGTTTGCTTACATGTGTATTCTTTCATTGTCAGTAAAATCATGCTTGCCATAGATGCAACACATCTTTTGCTTTGGGTCCAGATTGCTGCCTTCAGGTTGGGACCCTGCAGCATCCCCTGTGCCCTGGCTGAGGGGAGGGGGTGGCAGGCCCTCTGGGCCAGCATATTATCTATCTGTTTGTCTGTCTATCTATCTATCTATCTATCTATCTATCTATCTATCTTGGAGATATAGTCCCCTATTCAATGTAGACCATGACAAAGACAGAAAGTGCAGGAATTTTTTTCTTTCACATCCTGGTACAAACCAAAAAATGGCATCAGGTTGTTCAAGGTCTATCAGTGGATGTGGTAACCACCCTATTCATGCTGTTTGTCCTGCGTGGCTTGCTTCCTCATCCTTTCTGCAGCTGATCCTGTCAGTGTGAGTCTCTTGACTTCAGGGAAGCATGTGGGTCTTTGTGCCAAATTGGACAGAAGTTCATGGGAGATGAAGGACCTCCCCCTCTTAGTTCTGTTCCAGGGACTCCTTGATCCTGATGCCAGCTGAGACAGGGTTGGGGTCCCAACAACAGGCTCCACCATGAAGTATTTTGTAGATACCCCAGAAATATTGGCATAGTTGTCTTTTAATTGCATTCTTAGCTTTTTCTTTTCCATAGCTCTTTGTGATGCTCAGTGTAATCAGCCAACACCTGTTTACTAATCCCTTGCTCTGGGCTGGGTGTTGTACACAGTTCTGCCCTAATCTTACTGGAAGGTGAGGCTAATGCATCTGTGATTCAGAAATATGGAATGCGTGCTGAATTTGGGGATTCTCTTGTGTGATTCTAGTTGTAAAATCATTTTTACAAGTTTTAGACTTGTAGTTAAATTTACATATGGGGATTTCAACCACTTCCGGAAGATAGTAGGCTAAGTTATAACATTACAGAAACATGGCAGCGACTCCACACTCCCTGTGTATCATGTCTGCTGTTCAGTAGGGCACAGCCACTCTAGAAGGTGCTAATGGGGGATCCCAAGCTCCAGGCCCCACTGTAGACCTGAGTCCTCCGAATCATGGTCTCATTTTCTCCTTCTCTATGTCTCAGGACCTATATATGTGTGAAAGGAAATGAAGAAGAGAAGGATCAAATGCTGTATTAGGAAATCAGTAGGTTACTCTTCTTGAAAAAAACCTTAGCTTCCTCACCCCGCTCTAGAATTCTCTGCCCTCTGTCTCACGGGCCCCATGACCCCCTAAAGCTATGGGTGAGAGCTGTTCTCTGCTTTCTCCAGGTGCGTGTGCTCATGCCCGTGCAGACACGTGTATTCTCCCACACACATAGCTTTGTTGAAAAAAATAATGAGCAAGTAAAATGTTACTTGATGTTTGTTTTGTTTAAACAAGGGGCGCATTTAAGATAGTGAACACCATCTGAGGAGGGACAAAACCTGGTGCGGTGATCTGGGCGGCCTCGCCATACCTTTCTAACGTGTACGCCACCAGATAAATAGTCTGGTTGTTTTGTTCAGTTCTCCCAGCTGACTGGGCAGTTCCGTTCAAAAAGCAGTCAGACTTTCGGCTTTGCTGATTGGCCCAATTACTGCATGAAATTGATCTGGTTATTGAGGAAGCTTGGTGCAGTGACTCGGCGTGAACACAGGTGGCGCAAGGGAGCAGTTATGTGAAGAGTCCTCCTGGATTTTTAGGGGTTGTGTTCTGCCTGCTCTGAGGTGGCAGGAGAGAATCCCTAAGTTGTGCTCCCATTGCCCAAGCCGGAAGTGAGCTCTCTGCTCACGCTCCTGCTCCCATGGTGCTAGCACCTCCCCTGTGGGTCCCACCCCATCCTAAGTCCAGGACACCTGTGCACATGCCCCACAGTGCCGTTATAACACCATGCCCCATATCCGAGGAACAGAGGAAATGTTCATTTGCATGAAGCTGCCTTGCTACATTTCAACATTTCTGTCAAAATATTAACTGGACTTTATATAGCACCTTTTTCATTTGCACAGTGCTCATCATTATAACAAATTGTGAGTCAGAAAGTATTATTTAAGCTTCATTTTATCATCATCACGTCAATAACACTAACAGCTAATATTTATTGAGCCCCAACTGAGTCTGACGTAATGTTCAGCACCACTCATGTATCGTATCTCCTAGTTAAATTTTTGTGACAAGCCTGTGGGGTTGTGACTGTCTACATCCTGCCTGTGATGGAAGCTTCAAGTGACTGGCCCAAGGCCACAGCCAGTGGGCATGAGCAGGGCAGGGCAGGGCACGAGTCCCAGTGCCCCTGACCCCACAAGCCTTGTCCAAGGCTTTCTCATCGGGGAAGCACTGCAGCGGTTCTCAGATTGGACCTTGTGTTCGTTTCTCGGGGCAGCCACAGCAGGGTACCCCAGGCTGGGTGGCTTAGCAGCAGAAAGTGTCCTCTGGAGGCTGGAAGTCTGAAACCACGGTGGCAGCAGGGTGGTTTCCTCCAAGGCCTCTCTCCTTGCCTTGTAAGTAGCCATCTTCTTCCTGCGTCTCCATTCAGTCTTCTCTCTGTCTGTGTTCTAACCTCCTTTCTTATGAGGACACCAGCTGGATTAGGGCCCACCGTTAGGACCTAATTTTACCTTATTTGCCTCATTCAAAGTTGTGTCTCCAAATACAGTCACATTCTGAGGTCCTAGAGGTTAGGACTTCAGCATGTGAATTTTGGAGGGGCACATTTCAGCCTGCTACCCATGTTTAGTGCAGGAAACAAATACAGAATTTCTTTAATCCTTATCATATGTATAAGACCCAAGATAGAACTGAGAGGGGGAAAAGAAAGTCTGGAGCCCTTTCCCTGTGACATGGGCCGGTCCTTGATCGGATATTCAGCTGACGAGCCTTGCGCTGGTGCCGTGGGTATGCCCAGTATGGACCTGGCCCCAGGAAGAGGCCTGAGTTAAAGAAACACACAACCCTCGGTGGGGCTGCTGGTACAGAGACCTGATCTAGGCTACTGACATGGGAGGGCAAAGTCTTCTCACTCTTTGTTGAGGTGTAATACAAGCAGAACGGGGCACACACTTCACGTGTGCACCTCAATGAACTGGCACGCTCACACGCATGAGTGCCCAGCACACAGGACCACTGCTGTACCCCAGCAGCCCTCTCGCTTGTCCTTCCAGCCACTGCTGCTCTGCAATTTCTAACCTCAGTTGTGTGGTTCCATTTGTAAATATAAAAGCAAAGAGAAATAGTGGTTACAGTATAAAAAAATGCATGCCTTATCTTTCTCTGGATTCCTCTAGACCCAGCTCTGCTCCTAATTAACCCCAGGACACTGAAAAGGACGATGAATCTGACGAATCTCTCATGGCAGCTTCCTCATTTGTCAAATGCACGGAGACAATCTCTAGTTAATAATGAATTTAGAAAACTTAGACACACAGCTGATCAAGATGGTATATTTATTAGCTAATGGTGAAAATGACAAATAAAGAATATTACGTATACCTCTCACTCTCTAGAACGTGAAATCAAAGGACCTGGTGTAGCCAGGAAATATCGGGTGATTTAAATAAGGTATGTAGGAGGGATGGTTGTTAAGGGGCTAAATCGGGCAGACAGAGAGCTTTCCTCTAAGAACCTGTTTATTGCCCAGATTTGGAATCTCTGGGTGGCACCGCCAATCAGTCGGGGTGCTCTGTTTTACAAGTTTGCTGCACAAGCCTTGTGTATAACTTTCTATGCAAACCAGAAGCAACCAGGGAGCTTGGGACTTTCAAGGCTCAGGCTTTGTCCCTGGAGGGGAGAACGTTGCTGCATCGACCGCAGAGGTGCCTTTGTCAAACATCTTCTCTAGACTAGACATGGACCTCAGGCAGTGTGGGACAGTGTCTCGGTCCCTGTCACCCACACCCAGGCCGCTTATCTTCTGACAAGTTCGTATTTGTCACATTTTAATATGTATTGGTGTACTTGCTTCTTGATTCACTTGTACTGCGTAAGAATTGATTTTTGAGAAATATATTTAGATTTTTTTGCACACTCCTGAATTGGCTAAATGCATATTTGCATAGAAATAATCTTTAGTGAGCTCTGCTTGCAACTGTGTCAAATTTATAAACATCCCCCTCAGGTCTCTCTTTCTTTTTTTTTTTTTTTCATGCATCATGTCTGGGTCACCACACACAGCATTTATTTGGTCGGGATTTTGTTTTCAGCCATGTATTTGCCCAGATTGTGTTTCCATATGTTATAACGTCTCACCATATTTTATTTCTTTACATTGAAATTTCAAAACAAAATAATCCTGTTCAGAGGTTTTGTTTAAAGGCTCCTTCTGGTGAAAGCAAGCATGTGGTATAGAGCCTTTTACCTCCTATTTCTTCTCCCACTCCCCTCTCGGTCCACGGTTTGTCTTTGAAGACACCGGGTAGGGCAGGCAAGGTAGAGCCCAGACACCAGACAGTTTTCACTCACACCAGTGAAAGTGCCGGGGTTCTGGAAAACGTGAACGTTAATGGCCAGAGTAGGCCTGCCAAGCTCAGTGGGATTCTACTTACCTGGCTTATTATTCTGGCTAACTGACCTTTCCAGTTAATTCATGGCTCCGTTTGTGCATGCCCACCCCTGCCCCCCTCCTCACCACCACTCGAGTCCTCATTGTGTGAATGTTGCTTCACTTTCTCCCACATCTCCTTTCTCTCCTCGTCTTAGCTCTCCCCTGTACCTCTCCTAGAGATGGATACCTCCTTCCTTCTTGGTGCTGCTTATTCCTTCCCTCTTTCAGCTTCCATTTCTCCTTCTACCTAGATGCGTCCCTATTTTTCTTGTACCAAGAGGCCTCTGAACTTGGCTTTTAGTGGCCGGCATGTAGTATTTGATTATTTATTGTCCTCCTCAAACCTAGTGTGGTTCTGGTATTTCAGACAGGTACTGACAGGTTTGCCTTTGAACCTGCCTTGCCTTTTCTTGCCACGTCCATGCTCCCGACGTCCATGTTCACTGTTGCACTGGCTGAAGGAAGGAGGGACTTGGTTGTTCAGTTGTTAGCTGTGTAAGTTTAACTGTACATTTTAAGCATACCCGCATTTTATTACTTAATGCCTGCCAGCAGGTAATTCTACAAAAACCTTGAAAAAAAAGATTATTTGGAAAAATATGGGGCTCTATCTTTTTTCTATCCCTCCTCCTTCTCCCCTGTACCTAGATTCTAAGCTCACACTCATATATGAAGCAATTCTGACCATGCAATGATGGCATTTTTTTGAGAAGTGAACCCCTGTATGTCCTTCCCCTGTTGGGCAGAGGGACCCTAAGGTGGGCCCACCCTGGTATGATCCCCTCCCCTTGAATGAGTACAGAGCCTGTGACTTGCTCCT